AAGGGCTAACGCTCGAAACGTCAGCTTTTGTAATCATTACGGTGGCCAATTTACCATTTCAACTTAGTTGATATATCCAAATTATTCCATAGTATCTTAATTTAGTCATACTATATAAAGTTACCCATGAACTGAACTGGCATGGTGTCCTCCAGCGCTATGAAAGGCTCGTTTTGAGTTGTCACTTTATTATTTGTCCTCTGTAAGCCCGTTCTCACGTCATCTAATGCTGTTAGATCGACAGTCTCAGTAGAGCGGTCAACTCTAGGTCTAGAGGAAACAATCGGTAAGGACTGGGACTTACAAGCGACAGATCGGCCCATTCTGATGTTGGCTTCCCCATGGCCTCTTTCAGCGTCGCTGGCAGACTTGTTAGTTCGTACCCTCTGTCTGTAGGGGATGTCTTGCTTCGCACTTCTCCTCCTGGGGCGTCTGGAATGAGGTCGCGCAGCCGCTTCCATTTCTTTTAAGGTTTCGTTCAGGAGGCGAACGAAAACAGAATCCAGATGGTCGGATCTTGGTTTTGAAAGTAACTCACACAATCTCCTTATTGCAGTGATCAAACCACGGGAAGGGTTTTGAAGACCTTTAACAAGGCCAAAATTAAAGCCTTGAAATGCGTTGCATGGATAGGAAGACGGAATGAAAGCATTTGGGGACTGATGCGAATCATAAGGCCATGAACGGTGGGAGCTGTCAATAAAGCGAGTGGATGGTCCTGTTAAAGGTAGCTCTGTTGCCATACTTGGCCTTACAAAATCCATTTCAGCCTCAAGGACGTCAAAGACATCATCCAGACTAGGTGCATCATCTATGTTCGGTATCGGTAACTCTAAGTCAATGCTTTCAAAGGACATCTTTCTGTCAATTAGGTCTGACGCGCCAGCAGGGTCGGAAAAGGGCGATAATTGCCATGGTCCGTTGAAAAGTTTGTCTGCCGAATCCATTTTTAAAGCTGTTTGATTTGTTACGGGTTGACGAAGCGATGAGTTACAAGAGTCAGTGATTTGAACTGAGGTATCACTGAAACTGTTTCTATTCTTATGTTTGATTCTCCAGTTGGATTCCTGCTCCCAAATATGGTTGGGTTCAGTAATTTTCAAGCAAGCTTCTTTCGTGAATTTCTTCTCCACATTTTGTTCGAAAGCTTCCACTTTATTACCACACGACTGACGATCAAACCCAGCAGCGTTAAAAATAAGTCTCTTCATCTGTTGTTCATGATGTTCATTTTCTGATTTCATTTTGATTCTTTTTCTTTTTCTGCAATGAAAACACACGGACATAAATATTTTAGCCTTAATCTTTACGATACGTATGTGCAAACGTTTACCACAGTGTCGAAGATATACATACCGCTGCGACTCATTTGCTGGGTTCTCTTATTGGTTATGTATATGTGAACTAAAGGATCTATGTTTCACAAACCCGAAACCTAATTACTAAGAAATGTTATCATGAGTTACTCTTTTAATAAGGGATAAATCATCTTGCCAGTTAAGATGAAACGAAAAACGGACATCTTTACATTCTTAGAACATGAGTGATCAGTTTTGTTTGTGTCGAGATAAACAAGTATTGCCAGTAGCCTAGGAATGCGGAGTTTGAATTCAGTCGCTTGATCGAGGAAACGCTGATACTTAAATTACATGATCCACGATAAGACCCAATGGTTTCACAGGAAATGTTCGCACAGATACATAATCAGTGATTCATTGCTATAATTACTCATGTAAAAATTTTTATATGATAATCTTTTTTTTTTTTTTTCAGGAAAGCTTAGATAGTTTCCATCATTTACCACGTGCAACTAATGGTGGTTATCATGCCCATAAAGCCGAATCTCATTGATCATGGAAACCCTTTAGTCTTAGAAATCGCGTGCATATCGTAAAGTTGAAGGGGAAACGAAACTTCCGTTTATCAAGCAGGCAAGAATTTCACAGATGTTATTTGAGAATTGGTGCATGACCAACCCTCTCTGGTGTGCGTCCGATCTTCCTTCCTTCCGGGTGAAACCATCAAATGGACCGCGCTAAAGCTTTTAGTTTAACAATTCAAATAAGCTTTTACCTCTCTTTTATGCATTAGTCTTAAAAGATTGCCTAGAGGTTATATGTAGTTCTTTTTTTGGTGTTAAAGATCATCATAACAAGTAGAGTTGTTCACGTGAACGGCTTCTTTAAAGAAGCTAATTTATCAAATTACCAGAATATCAGATTCGATGTGTGCTATCTTATAAATTACAACTTTAAACAGAAACGCAACAAGAACGCATTTACATCAGAATTCTTGTGTTAGCCATTAAGCAAAGACTTTGAATGGAGCTTCTCGTGTTTATTTCCGTCAGCTTGAAAAGGTCTATCACGAAACGTAGTGGCTTATCAGCGTGTTTTGCATCCCCTGCAGAAAGCAAGATTTGGAGCTCGTTCGACGGATTACTTGATCTTTGTCACGTTCTCTGGTAAGGTGGCAGTGGCATGGATCTGTCAAATACCAAAATCTCGGGCATGAGTAGGTAATTAAAAGAGCCTGGTTCGCGAGAAAGTTAAACCATCAATTTATAGAGAAGCAGCTTCATCGTTTACGTTTTGAAGAAAATTGCCTACCCATTACCCTCTTCGGCCATGGTCTTAGTCTAGGAAGCCTTGATGGAAAATTCCTTATCCTAGTCTTTAGTTCTGCTCATGCGCTGACATTTAATTTTTTTGTTTTGTTTTCGTCCATTCCTTTAACATGATTCATAAGAGTTTGGAAAGAAATCAAACGACACTGGGGTACATGCTTACCACATACTAATCAGGTGGAAAAAAATGTCTGTCAAACGAAGATACATCACCAGGTAAGGACTAAACCTTAGTCGAAGAGTATCCATCATGACCTGATTAGTTCGATTAAGAGCCCTAGAAGCAAACGTTGACTTCACTCACGGAATCGCTTCAAAAGTTTGAAGAGTAAGCCAGGAATTCAATAGCTTGTGATCTCACCGAAGGACCGAGGACGTCATTTGATTTGAACCTATTTACGACAGAAAATGTGAAGGATTTAGGACGATGAACAGTCGAGATGGATGTATACAGTAGTGTTCAGTTGCAGCGAACTTCATTGAGGCGGAGGGAGTTCACTCGATTACTTTCTGGCTTATTGAATTGGAGTTCAGAAACTGTGACAAGGATTTAGGACGATGGACAATCGAGATGGATGTATTCATGTACTGGTCTTGTGGCAAACTTTATTGAGGTGTAAGGGGTTTACTCAATTACTTTCAAGCTTTTTCGAGTTCTAAAGCCATCATCTATCGGATGCGATACAATCAGTTTTCTCGAGTAACAATATGTAGCAACTTACTGTAAAGTACATTTTCAGGCGGTTAGTCATTTTCAGGCAGCCTTGTTGTTTGCGAGCCACCGAACAATCGTCAGCTACGACATCACTGGCCCTCGTTCTCAAGCCTCAAAACTTTGCCAATTTAACTCCATATCAGCGGCCAAGACCGAAATTTTGCGACAACTGAATTTTTCTGAGATGCTTGAAAACCTTATGCCGTGCTTAAGAGCGATAAAGACAAACATATCCTCGCGTAGTGATGTGTGTCTCTCAGTATGTGTGATTGTTTTATTGTAAAGCACTTCTAATCAGCAGTGAAGTTCGATTTCAGACCGATCCGTGCTTCACTTAGCTTGTTGCTTATCTACAATTGTACGTAAACCCACTAAGCTCATGCTCTGTGAAAATTGTATCAGATACTGCTGCAAAGATCATGGATACTGCTCGCTGGTTAATTCGAATCGCAAATCGAAACTGATCAGATACAGTTAGCTCCAGCTCTAGTTGCCTTAAGATAGTGATGTCGTGATAATATCGCAATAGCGTCCAACAGTTTGATATAACTAGTATTCCGATGAGAGTTTAATGATCTAATTAAGAATTCTGTGAATGTCATTTCTACAGTGTTTTAAGAGGTGCATGTCCGGTTTGATCTTGGCTCCATTCACTGATAGGTAGCACATGAACACATTTATACCGTAGGACAAGTAAGGCACAAAATGCAGCCAGTACACTTTCCTATCAGTTGCTATGATTCTCGTGTAAAATTATCTTAGTAACTCCAAGAGGTGTATACTATCTATAATTGAAATTGCCAACTCATTCTATTCTCTGCTAGTTTTTTTCAACTGTACTAAGATTTCGTCAAGAAATTTTGCAAAGTAGCGAGCGATAGATTAAGAAACTTGGTCAGTGAGGACGTCGGATAAGTAAGTTTTGTCTGAGAATACCATAGTTAAACAATGTGAGAACATACGACGTAATTCTGGGCAGCAAGATGTGAAGTGTAAACGTTTAATTTCGCAAGCCTCAATATTGCTGTGTCACTGCTATAACATAATTGTCTCTTTTGAGTTTGAGAGAGTTTAATAATTGTCTGTCACGCATTTTCTAAAGAATGACACTAGATATTGATTCAATTCCTGATGATTGAATCTGCGTTTAAAGTCAGTAGATCCCGTTCATTCGTTGAAAGATCTAATCTGAGACAAAGTTAAATTAGCGTCAATTCGTGTGTGAAAGTTATTCAACTATCGACTGCATTTCTGACGCACAACTAATGACTATAAACAACCCTCCAGTAAATTCACTTAAAAAAAAAAAAAAAAACATTCAGGAAGATTATACAGCCAAGAGCCCAATCACTTCAGAACTTTCACTAAAAGGGTCAAGTTGACCCTTTCAGTGAAATAGTAATAGAAAAATACTGATAAAACATTGTTTTGATGACCGCTTAGAAACGTTTCTTTTGAATAACTCTTCGGCTTTGAATCACAATCAATACTTTACAAGCTCGTCTGCTAGATAGAGGTGGAGTGTCACACCGAACTGAACTGCTCCAATTAATGCTTTAAAATCATTTCGTTGCACATGAGGCCTGTATCCGAAATGCAATTTCGGGGCCTATGCAACCGGTTCAATAAATTGTTACGACTGTGCATTTCAAATTTATAGTTACATCTGTTCAAAATTAAGTATCAACTCTTCGTGTTTTAAGTTCTTTAAGTAAAATAGCCAATTCTAAATAAATGTCATTGGTATAATTTGAATTTTATTTGTTTCTCTTCTTGTACTTTTATCATAGACACGATTATTACAGTAGCACAATTAAAAACAGTATCTTTGTAGAATGAATTCCTTTATGAGGTCGAAACCTTGTCGATTGTGATTCTACTCTAATTAAACCTGCTCCGATTTGTTCACACAGTTTTTACCATCTTTTGGAGATAAATATCGCAACGGTGAAAAATGATAGATATTTGCTGCAAGTGACACAATTACGACGTTCTTAAACAGATTGGTAATAAAATAACCAAGAGATTGGCCTAAAATTAAGTCTTAAGTGTAAAGAGTTGAAAAGTTTCCGACCAACCTGCGGACACGTGATCAACAACTGGCCAAAAGGGAAACGTCGTAGAAGTAAGACCGCTCTCGATGTCTCTTTTTACACCTGTTTTATATCAAACGCAATTTATTCACCATCAATAAAGAAAAATCTGGGCATAATGACGTTGTTATGTTATTATGAATATGCCGCCCCCGTACTGTGCAATAGTTTCGTTTGAAACATTGTTAGAGTTTCCGAGTTTACTTTAGGGCACTTCCACATTGCTACGCATTTTGCGGAGTCAAAAACAAAGCTCGTTACTAGGACGTGACGCACTTCCTTCCATCAGCTTTTGAATATGTTAGCCTTAGCATGAAACTTTTGTTTCTAATTTCCGAATAGATACTTAAATATCGTAATTTATAAGGTTTTTACAAGCAGCACCGGGCAAATTGACCCTTGTGGAAAGGATACATCAATGCCCTATGAACTCCAATATTGGACCGTTTATTTCTTCTTTTTTCCTAATTACTTGAGAGCTCGATCTCCAGAATTACATAAACTATTTCTCTTTTGCTGTTTTAGAATTAGTATCTCTTTTTTCGGAACAAATTTCTTTGCATTGGAACAATCAGTGGCATTAATGAAAACGGACTGAAGCATGAGAATTGACTGGCTACTCTATGAACAGCTCACACGCAAATGACAGCTGTTGTTTATCCATGGATGCCCAAGCTTAATGTCACACATCAGACTTTCCGGAAAGATGTCGAACTGACTGATAAACATATTTTTTCAAATCGCAGAATGACATCTAAAAAAAGTGTTTTGTGGGTCATGCATTCCTGACTGTATGATTAATTCACGACGGTTTGGATTATTGGAATGAAAAAAAAAAAAAAAAAATTGGGAATAACTTTCCATGTCGACCCGTTCAACTGCGCCTCCGGTAACTCTTAATTTACATCCTTAATTATATTTCATGTTCCCGGAAAATCGGAAAAATGTGTAGAACTTGTGATTACTTTGAAAGTAATGATCAAACCTTTCTTAGAGAAATTATTCAAAATTTTGATTCAACAGGTGCATTGAGCAATTAAGCAGTTTTCGGTGGTGTACTGAAAGCTTAGCGAAGTTTTGACGTTGCTAATAGCTGTTTTGTTTTTGATTTACAAATGGCCTTAGGGGTGACATTTGCACGCAACCGATATGGGAGAAATGCTCACTGACCGTTAAATCGCTGTATATCGTATTGCGGTAAACATAAAACCGCCACCGCTTATAACCTTCTCGCACCAGTGGGCGAGTCTTCTGGTGTAAGGCTGCGAGTTACCTGGTGACGTATATCAACAAAATTGTGATTTTACTTCCTAGAATAGAGAATACAGTCCGCCGGAGAACGCGGGAGGAAATGGGTATAAATAAAAAGGGTTCGATGCTACAACCATTTTTATCTCAAGCAACGTGTACTGACACCCACCCACGCACATATGCACATTTCAATCGTTGCATGATAACAATGCGCCGGACAAGGTACTTCACTATCAAAATGGCCCAAGGCATAAATTGATCTAAATTTCACGACTCAATAAATACTCATACAACTGGTCAAAACAAGAGTCGATGGATGTTTTTGCGCTTGTGTTTAAAAGAAAGGTATTTTTTGTGACAGTGACAAGTTTAGACTCTTGGGGTTTTCTGGTCTCAATGTTATTAAACTTTAAGGAGAATCTAAAAAGTCATTCATTCAATCCCAGTGTGTTTGGTGTCGACTAAGTGGAGCATTCTCGTCTCGATGGGTTTTGTCATTTAAATTTTCAAGTAGACGATTTCAAGTGTTTTTCTTTCACATGCCTGGTTTGCCTCGTGGATGGAGTACGGGTTAGATTGTTATTATCGGTGAAATAGCTTTGGATAACTCATGGCCATGAGTTCTGGTTTGTCTTTTAAGACTTGTACAAGCGTGGGTGTTCTTTTTTGTTTGTGTAAAGGCCCTCCCTGTTTGCATATTGGTACAGGAAACAAACTATGAGGTTAACTGATACGGTATCAGCTTTGTTGGGTCTGCTTATGTGTACACCATAAGCTGAATTGGACGCGTATCGGAAATTTTTCAGCAAGTGTCTGCCGAAGAAATACCGTGATCATGTTTGACCTTCATCTTCACTCCACTGTTGAGGGTAAAATATACTGTATTTCCGCAGTTTTTGGCGTGTCTCATGCGTGGGCGAGAATTGATTTTATTAAGAATTAAAAACGAGTTTTAGGTGTGTCTAGTCTCGTGGCGTGGGCGATGATACGTTGAAGGTACATTTCACCTGTTTCATTTTGTAAGGTGGAAGTTGTTTCAGTGATATTGATTCATGTTTTTTTTTTGTTTCGCGCTTGAAGAAAATTATATAGAACGATAATGTGAATTTAAAGTTTCCAGGTGGTTGGTCTAGGGGTTTCACAGAGCTATTCTGAAAATTTGCACCTTATAAACAATGTATCAAGCGCCATCAGTGGGTTTTTAAAGTAGCTGGTTTTAAGGAGTATTGAACTATGGAACTTATCGGTAATAGTCGCTGTCGTAAGTGGCACTTCGGAAGTGCTCGGTTATTGTCGTCGTAGCGCCACGAGTTCTGCCTACGTAGCTATTATCATCAAGAAATCCTTTCGTTAATATTCCGAAAACTGACATGTCTCGAAATGTTCGTAAGTGCTCGGGTATAGTCGTCGTTCCCCGAAATCTGCTCGCGTAAATGTTACCACGAAACATTTCCGCAACGTTAAGTGTCACGCTGCGCCGGAAATGTTCAATAAACTTAGTGACGCAAGTAACAGGAAATAACGGAAATGCTAATCCGGGCTTTCGGGAATTTTCGGCAGCAGTCGGCTTCTGTCGGCTTCTTTCGGTTTTTAAGCTTTACTAGAGCTTATTAATGATGATCGCGTGAATAATTGCGTCAAGTGAATAATTGAGTCAAGTGATAATTGCGTGAAATTTTGTACCCAATGTTTAATCTACCCTATATACTGGAAAAACGCTCAAGCCAATGAGTGTACAAGCACAAACAGGCTAAAGCAGAGCCTTTAGAACTAAACAACTTTTTCCTAAAGGACCATTTGGACCATAACGTTCGCGTGCTCTTTCAAAGAGTTCAAACAAGTTATACCCGTTGTCACGTCACACAATTCGAATTCGCATATAATATTGCTCACGGCTAAAACTTGATGTCACGCAACTGATGTGCTTACTCATATAGATTTGTGAAATTTTTTCTCTTTATTTGGACACATCAATCAGTAAACAGATATTTTCCTATTTTAATTTCACAGGGCTGGGTGAGGGTCAGGAATTATTATTGTTTTAACAAGTTCTTGACGCTCCAAAGGTCAATAAATTCCAGCTATTTTTTAACACACATTTGTTCTTGTTTATTTAACAAAAATGGTGCTGACAATTGGTTCCCAATTCCCCGAATCGAGTTTTGAGCCGCAAAAAATTGTCAGGACAAGTTTTAAAACTCAAGTTTGGTTTGCTTATTTTTGAGCACAATATTGTTCTATTTTCCGCTTCCTTGGACTAGAACTACAACAATTTTATTTGCATAAACCGATTATTCTCGAAGCCACACTGTGAAAATATCGTAAGGCGTCGGCACTGTTCTTAATTACCAGCCGTGAAGACTCATCTTTGCGTTCCAGAAAGTTCGATATAAATTTGCAAAATCGTTATTATAAAGGCGGTAAATTCAACGAAGGTAGCTCAGAGTAGTGGTTTCTATCACGTGCTTGTGGTCTCCGCTGTCGTTCGACTTTATTAGGAGTGCGCGCATCAGAAACAAAGACATAACACGAGGTAATTAATATTCTATTATATTTCGCATAAACATAGACAACCACACAGTCAAATCTCCTCGTCCTTTAAAACCGAGAAAGACAATTGGAAATAGTTCTGCGGAGAGCAAATCTTGTTATTTACTCTGAAGTTTAAACGTGTGATGAATGTTTTGTTATCAGGAACAAACTCTGTGGAACCTTCATGTGCTGGTAGACAAGGGTTTCGCGTAGTCAAACTTTGGTTAGATAGCTTAAACGAAGATCTATGTTTTTTAGAAACATGTCAAGTAAAGGCTCGATTCTTCTTCTCCTTCTTTCGGCTTATTCAGATTGTTTCTTTTTTTGCATTGTTTTTGACGTTTTCCACTCTAGTGGTTAACTTCGACCGCACAGACTTGGCCCGCAGGCCTTTGAAACATGTCGGACACCATTTCTTATGTTCATTGCACTGAAAGTAGAAACAATTCAGAGAGTTATGGGGAATTTACTTTCATAAAACATGTACTCTAATTTGAGTTTAATCATGAAATTTGGAGCGATCATGAGATAACATCTCGATTGACAAGACCGAAATTTCCTAGAGGCAAAATTGAACGTATCAAATTGACCATAATAGGTCGCTTGCGGTAGATAATACCTGTGTTAATACTAATTACGCAAATTTGGATAAAAATAAACTCGTTAGTATAGATTACGTGATTGTTGGAGGCTCAGCCATTTGACAAGCATGACATTAACTTCCTTTCTTCATATGAACCATCTACATAACGTGTAAAATATTTGACTCCATGTTTCTCTCGCACTGTTAATCAACTGGCCGGCATGAACATGCTTCTGCACTTGTGGCGTGGAGACGGTTGTTTATTTTTAATCCTCTACACCATAACATCTGTTCTCCATACTGTCCTCTATACATTTCGTGAGGGACCGACAAGGAGAATTAGTCGAACAATTTAACACTTCCTTAGTTGGTGATCATTTCCTGTATTCTCCTGACCGGAATGTGTGATTCAGGGGTGATATTTTAAGGAGAAATTAGATGCTGGTCACTCTTGGGGGTTAAAAAGGTGAAACTTCATACGAATATACATATATATAATTTTATTTTTTCTGTTATAGATATTTCACCAACATGAACCGACTTCAGAACCTTCCCAAGGTCATGCAGCATACGGCACAAGCGTTTCAAAATAGTTTTGATGATGCTTTTCACGGAAAGACTTGTTCAGACGCTCTGTGTGTTCTGCCACAATGCGTGAACTTTAAGCTTCAAACAAGGCATATCAATGCACCTCAAAAAGACAAACAATGCAACGTCGACGGCAGGGACATAGCTTCTTCGGAGACAGCCGTTAACACCCGGCAGAATAATAATGGAGGCAAGCTGATGTCCCTTAATCGAGCCATTCTGGACCACGATGCAGAAAAACAGCTGTTGGATGACATAGAGGAGTTTGAGAGGATTCTTGAGGGACAGAAGGTTGACTTAGGACCTCAGCCTAATTTTAGAAATCGTTTTGAGATTGATCAGCAAAACTCTTCGCCACCTTATGCCGCGAGAGAGGATTGTCAGATTCCTACACAGACAAACTCATTCCCTCCTTATATCTCTAGGGACGATCTTCAGTTTCCTCGACAGATATCAAGTGAGAAGGCGAGAAAACACCAACCAGACCCCCCCGAGTACGACGACTTATTTAAGAGGGGAGGAGCTACTTTCAAAGAGCCTTGTGATCTTATACACAGTACAGAATCCGATGAAAACCCTCTCTTTTTTAGTTACTATGAGCAGTTCATGTCAACAGATGAATTTGCTGTTCCTCAGAAAACTTCCCAAGGTGGGCACACTGCTAAACGCACACGGACAGATTTCGCGACGACTCTATCGACTACCAACGTGGAGAAGACTTCTTGCCACATCCCAGGCACCACAGAGCAACTTCTTGGCATGCAGCGTGAACCAGCCCGGAAAGTATTTGGAGTACTTTCACAGATAATGCATTTGTTCGAAAAACCCATGTCTGCAGAAGTTGAAGCCTTTTTCGTCCATGTCCTTCAAAAGGCACTCAGAGATATACGAAAAGCAGTCACGCGAGATAGTATTAAGTTTGCCTATTTTGACCCGTTACCAGTTTGTAAGCACTAAAAACTTGCAAATGAATCGGGGTATGTAAAATGCATCAATGCATCAGTTCAGGTCACGTGATCAGGGTCTCGTGTTTTTAGGGTATCCTTTATCCTGTTCAGGAAAAGTCAATGTCGTTAATCAATTGACTCACATCGAGAGGAGGGGAGAGAAAGTGTAGGATGAGCTGTAACCCCCTTCCCCCGGCGAACAAAAATGTAAGGGGCTGGGAAAGGTCCTGTATACAGTTTCGATGCGGCAGGAATTGCAGGACGTATCAAATTGATTGTATATGACTGGTGGTAGAAAACGGAAACTGCGACAACGACGACCTTTTGTTTGCTTCAAATAAAGCTTTATTGTAGGTCAGGTTAGGTTTACGTCGTGACAAAGTGGAAATTATCTAGGCTTTAGTGAGCAGGTTATGTTCTTTCTTGCTTAGATTTTTTTTAGCTTAAATCTTTCGACTGTAGGGAGGTAAGCCAACTGGTAAAGCTGACGGTATAACTTTCGAACTCTCGCGAATGGTTAGCTGCCGGCGAGCACGATGGCCGCGTTTCTTCTAGCTCCGAGAGCATATAGACTATATTTGATTTTTTTCTATTTTTTCTGTAGCTTAAGGGGCACAATATTAGTTTAAATCTAGACGAGTCCCTCTCTTCTCCTTAGGTGGTGTAGTTTTGTACTGTAAGTTTTCTTTCATTGAAATTTTTATACTTTTTACTTACTTTCTCACCTTGTATCTAATTCTGTATTATCATTTGCTAAGTTTTGGAGAAATAAATAAATGAGATGAAAAATAAATGGAATATAATTTCTTTTTATTGCTTTTTCTGTATATGAACAAAATAGCTATTTTAATCAAAGACGTGATTTACGTTAGATCTAATCGTCAAACTAACTGAGCCAAAACAATCCCCTTTCCTTTTTCAAACTGCATGTCACGTATTTAGAAAAAATTGAACAATAAAGATTTTCAAAGGAAGCCAAATTTGGCAAATTACTCAGCAGGAAGCTGAGTGATTTGAGCTGTGATCTGTGAACTGTTCAGGGTTTCAGCAAGCACGTACATTTTTTGGGTGGAATGGGAAACTCCACGGTTCATTTAGCTGAACGAGTCTTTCCAAGCGTTAGCGATTCATGTCGAGCCTAATTGATATCTCTGTTGTTTTCTGGCTGCCGATGAAAAAGGCAATAGCGACTAAAGCAATGAATGGAGGCATGGGTCAAAATTTAAACCTTTCTCTCCCAGTGTGTCGCTGAAAAGGATTATTCCTTTCAGTGTTAGTACACTCTTAACAGGACAATGACAGGAAGAAGGAAATTCAATCTAGGAGATATTTTGTTTCACCCAACACTAAATTGAGAAAGTTAAAGAGCAGGAAATGTATGTCAGAC